GCTCATACCAACCTCAGAGCCCCCAAATTCCATCTTCCCCTCAGAGCCCCCCATGGTCACCACCCCCCCATTTCCATATATTACTTACACCTCCTTAAGTACAGAACCCCAAACAGCTCTGATGTCCACAAGGACACCCCTGACTCCATTGGGCCATTTAGTTGCCTGCCCTGCAAGTCTGCCTTTGGACCACCTCTCCATTCTCCTTTTGGGTTGTTGTCTGTTAAACCTGTAACCCAAGTTGCATATTCAGTTGACTAACCCTTTACCCTGTTATGTCAACTCCGCCTGGTCCCTGCCATTTATGGGCCCTCTGCCTAGACTTCCCATGTATCTGCAAATTAGGGCCCCAACATGCTACTGGGCACAGTGCTCCTGGCTTGAGTCATACCTCCCTTTTGAATCCAGTCTTTGACAACAGGAGTCTGTATAAATGTTAGAACTGTGGGGCTGAATTGGTCAATTTCCATAGGTTTTGGGTGCAGCATAGGGGGTCAGCATAGGGATGATTCTACAGATAATGTGGCAGAGGTTGTGAGAGCTGGGTTTACAATAACATGGTTGGGTCAGGTTTTGTGTGATGATAGTTGTTGGATACTAACTATTTACATGGCATGGGATACTGTACTCCACAGAGCCCATAAGAGGCTAAAATGGGAAAATTGCATTTCTATAATAATAATAAATATGAACTTTGATTTTTGTGCCACAACTGCAAGTGTCCACTGAATATGTTGGTGTGCTTGTTTAAGCACTGGTGTAGCCTCACACTCCCAGTACATCAGTACATGCCATAATGAGGCTACATATATTATTAATGAGGGGATTAAGGTTAAGGGTGGGGAATACAACAATCACAAGTGCATCATACATGTGAGGAGCCCAGAGAAAAACATGCATACATCTCCATCAGTTTTGATCACAGCAAAATTTATGTAAATAATATTGGTAAATATAGACATGTCAATGCTACCTGTCTTCAGTAACTTTCATCATTAATTATGGCAATATTTGCTTCACACTTGATTGAACAATGGAAACCCCCCCCTCTGCTTTGACCATCTGCACATCACTGTGGCAGCATTGAGTGTCAAATCCTTGTAACAGAGCAAAATAACAAGCACATAGAAGCTGTTATGTACATAAATGGCCTTTGGGAGTTCATGAGCATCCATGGGATTCCATGAACACCCATGGGAGGCTGTAAAAGTCATGTAATTTGTCAGAAAATCCATGGAACTCCATGAAAATCCATGAAATTTCAACAAATCCCATGGAATCCCATGAATTTTCATGAAATTCCATGGAGCCCATGGAGCATCTATCACTTTTCACAAGTTACTGGACAAACATAGGCCAGAATGATGACCTGTGCAACCAGCAGGCAGTGGAGCACATTACAATGAGGCCATCAAAGGAATCAAAAAAGAAAATTCATCAAAGAAATCCTGGGGACCAAGAGAACATTGACCCTGGGTTGGATGCTTTCATTAATGCCCACTGGCTTCCAAAAGACAACCCTTGCCATGGGTGCCGGAGGAAAGTCCTTGACACTGTAGGAGAAATAACAGTCACACTATGGAAACCCATTATGGAAATATGCCAGATAAATCACAAAACCCCATATGACAAGTAGATATGAGGACCTGAATTTTAACGAATTCTTACAAATTATTATGACTACACGTGATAAATTGAAAGAAAGAAAATTAGCAAAAATACTTCAAGCTTAGCATCAACAAGACGGAATTTTCAGGGGAATTTATAGCAAATATTAAACAAAGAATTAGGACAATCGACCAAGATTTGACTATAAAAACAATCAGAGAACCTCCACGGAAACTACTTTCCCACATCTGCACATGTAGCCAAGGATGGAAGTACCATGGAACAAGGATTCCTTAGGAACTAATGCAAAATTCAAAGTCGTGTTTATAATAGGAAATGTAGATGTTCTCCAAACGGACCCAATGAAAGTAATTACAGGGAAAACTACCCATAAACAACGGAGATATGACTAAAACTCCCAGAAAACAAGGACAACGTTTAAAAGACAAGCACGAAGAACAAGCAGTAACGACCGAGACGAGCTTGATAGCCCATTAGAAAGGAAAGGATCTAATCTTAATCCACCCAAATTTTCATAATAAAAGGATCACACATTAATGAGATATCCAATAATGGGAATAGCAACATCAAAAGTCCGGGCTCAGGGAAAAGACAATGTTTACGTAGGATCCATAATTAAAACATACAACTAAATTTACACGGAAATTATGAAAAATAGGGAACTGTAGTTATGCAAATTTTCAGCCCAAACGGTCCAGCCATTGTGAAGTTATACCAATGATGGGAATATAGAAATCCGCATCATGTTTAATGACATGTGAGGGTGGCAATGTGAAGGGAACCGGCTGTCAGAACCGAGATCCGCACTTCGGCAGATCGCAAAGACCAATTTCCATCCAAATAAGGAAGAGCCCAGTCAAAACAAAGCACAGAAAGTGCAAAAAAACCTTAGATCATGAGGGAAAAATCTGAAATAAATCATGGAAGCCCATATGAAGGATACAAACACCCACGCATACCATAAATCCCAAACAATTAAACAGAAACGGCACCCGCATATGAATGACTATGGGAACGATGCACATGATTACCAAATGTGCGTGTGAACTTTTGCTAACTCGATGAATACCAAGAAATAGAACACAACCTTAGTACCATTGGAAAGGTGGGAATAAATGAAAATTTATGATACCAAGAACGTGAAAAACCATCCAGAAATGAATGAGATACAAGGACATGAAGTTAGAAACCTGAAAACACGCAGGAAGACAGCTTCAAGAGGTCCAGAGGCCTAAATAAAATACATAAAAATATGATATCTTCGAGGACGACCTACTATAACAACGAACAATACATATGGAGGACTAGGATGTGATAATACAAAGGGGAATCAGGGGAGATGAACGAAATCCACGAAAACCACTAAACTATGATGGACCATGGCAGGAATTTTAGGGAACGATATTCTAATGAAGTGGAGAGCTATAATACATTCGTTTGAGTAATTCTTGACTACTAGCAACTTTTTCTTTTGGTTCTAAACCTGAATAATTCACTCATTTACCATTTCAAGTCTCATTTTAACTAAATGTCGCTGGATAAAAATGGAATAAATCAGCTGAAGGTCTCAGTGCAGCTGTATGCATAGTAATGCGAAGTTTGAATTCAGAATCACCGAGTCATAGCGAATTTAATGGTAAATATGAGGAATTTGAAATAGGAAACTGCAACAAATGCAGTGCAGTCAGGTTCTAATTAACCATTAAAATAGTTTAGGCGAGGAAGGACAATAAAGATTCTAGGTGCAGTCTGACCGCACTAGAGCCACAGTTCAGCACAGCAGAGCACAGTAGAACTATAGCGTGAAAATTTCATTTTTTATTCAGTTTGAGAAAAATACACTGTAAATAAATCCTGTAAATACGAGGTAGAGCATGAAAAAGGAAGGCAACCCAAGGAGTATAAAAGGGAGACCCTTTCTGCGACTTTTCGCCCCCCTCAAAGAAGTAAGAAAATAGAGTATTATTTTTCTCAAGCATTTCTGGTTGTCACTCCAGCGCGAAAAAGTGATATACAGTTACAATTGCCACTGTAGTAAAAGGCAGCAATTAAGGAGGGAAATATTAAGTAGATATTTCAACAGGAGAGCTGGTTAACACTCCAGATTACAAAGTGTAAACACAAAACAGTTATTTTGCTGCTGTTAAAACAAGCAATAAAATAAGACAAAAATAAAACAAACTCAAGGGACACTCCAGACACAATCCAAATCCATTAACTGAGTAGAATCTTTGAAACTTCACCAAGTGGAAGATTTAATTCAAGTTAAATTCCAAATTAAACAACGCTACACAGAATTACACCTAGACAAATTAAGAAATTTCAATAAAAGAACAGCTCTGCAGGGCTCAGTTTATCTGTAAGTCAATTCCCAGAAACTTTTAGACTAACCCATAAAGATAGAATTAGCCAAAACACTTGGATTGGTACTATAATTACAACAAATATTACTAGTACATTTCCCCATCCTAACTAAAGAACCAGGGAACAGCTTGGTGGTGGTCTCGTTTGAACCTCCCAACTGACCTTCCTTCGTTCTCTCCTTCAACGCTCACTTTGGTAATGTATGTATTGATACCTGACATGTGCCTGCACAGCAGCTCATCCCCGTGTCTTATGTCAGCAACACCCCACTACTGCTGTAACCATTGCAACTTGCACAAGCCCCTCTCAGGCTGTGATCTTCACAACCCTGGTCTCACTGCTTCAATGTTTGGTCACAAACTTGTAGAGCAACCTATTAAGTGGTTACCTCAACATGCAAAACCTGGCTACTGTTAGAGGATGAACGGGCAAAGTTGTCTGGAAGCAGAGAAGGGACTCAGGAGTGGAGGGACCTTGGCCTCAGCAACTCAAGTGGAGTGCTGTGTCACTGCTTGTTGTCTAAGGTGGTCCTTGACTTCAGGTTAGCAGGGGGAGTCTCTTTGGGGGACAATCCAGTCATTATTCTTGTTGTCGATTTCAGACTGGGGGTATAGGAAACTAAGTACAGAGTATATATATAATACAGGAGTGGAGTCAGAGGACAAAGGGAACTGGAAGGAGGACAAAGGGAACTGGAAGGAGGACAAAGGGGACTGGAAGGAGGACAAAGGGGGACTGGATGAGGGAACAACCCCAAGGGTCAAGGGTTGGAACTCTATGGTGCTTCCCAAAAGGGCAAGGCCAAGAGGGGAAGGAGTGGAGGGGGTTGTGGGGAATGACAGCTGACTAATATGGAAAGGAAGCAGCTGTCTAAATAAGGAAGAGGCAACAAGAGGATTAAATGACACCATACAGTAGAGACTGCAGGGTCCAGAGTCAGAAGTCAAAGTCCGGAATACTGGCTAGATGTAATAAATGAAATGTAATAAGGAATACAAGGAGATAAGATGGAGGAGGTCAAAGTCCGGAGGTGGAGATGTGACTGGAGTTCTGGAGGTGGAGGTGTGATGGGGTTCCGGTACAGGAGTCCGGAGCCGGAGGTGGAGCATCACAAGCTCTGGTCTGGAAGATACAAGGTTGGGATCAGACCCGGAGTAAACCGGAGTCGGATCAGAGGTAGTGTTGGACGTTGTGTTGGAGCTAGAGGTAGAGTGGGCTCTCAACAACCAACAGGGGGAGGAGGAGGCGAAGGATGTGGAGTTCTGGAGGAGGAGATGGAGGTCCAGAATCAGGAGTGGAGGTCCGGAGTTGTATGGATATGACAGCTACAAGAAGGACATGAATCATTCCTCTCAGCTTGGCAAAGCACTCCACGACTGGAGAAAAGCAGAGTTTTCTCAGCACTATCCTGATTGGCACAACAGTATTTGGATAGGGGACTGGATTGTACTTGGCAACCCAATCATTGACAATATTATCTATCTCATGAATTGCAACAAACTTTTGAATCAACAAGATTTCATACAGCTCATTGATTGGGAAGAACGTGGCTACTACGCATCAGAGCTGTTGCCAATGATTCACCAGATTTTCCCACCAGCAGTGCCCCCATCTGCTCAGCCATCCACCCCAGCACAAAGCAATACTGTGGTTCAGCCTTGCATGAAAAAATGTGGCAACTGCAAGAACATGGCCACAATGGTGAGTTTACTGTGACAAGCTATAGTATTTTTTTCAACTGATGTGTCTGTCAGAGACCGGGTTGAGACGAAAGAGTGTCTCCGTGACGGAGGGCTTCGGCCTCAGCGACTTATGCCAGGAGCGCTGTGCCTAGTAAACACGTCTGTGCCCTAACTTACTAACTGGCCACCAGAACTGAAGAGGGTAAACTCTAGTCGTTTTATTACTGGAGTGTAACCTATGTACAAGTGTAGTATATATAGTTACAGCGAGGGCGGGTCCGCAAATGGCAGAGCGGAGCTAACGGGGTTTAGACATTAGCCGATTGAATATTACCAACGAGTCAGGTTACAGGGTTAGCGGAAAGGCAGGCGATAACCCAGAAACGGAAAGGAGGGATAGGCCCGAAGGTGAGCTTGCAGGGCAAGCAAGTGTATTGCCCAGCAGAGGCAGGAGTGTGCTAGCGGACGTCGGAGCTGTCTGGGAGCCTTCGGGGCTCCATACTTAGGGAGGCATAGGTAATAAATTGAAAGGAGGGGGTGGTGACCATCGAGGGGTACCGAGGGGATTGCGGAATACAGGAGCTCCAAGGTTAGTGGAGAAGGAGTGGGAGTAATCGGAGGGATTGGAGGGATCGGAAGTCGATGGCCAGGGATGGATATGACAGTGTCTGGATTAGCTTGAACCTGCCCTGAACCATGCAAGAATTGTCACCAGAGTGGTCATACTAGTAAGTTGCATGCACACCACCTATAGACAAATAAAATACTTTTGTGCCCAATTAGAGATCCATTGTCCAAACAAGGAAAATTCTTCCACTTGATCAATCTCCTGCCCAGGACATTGTTAATTAAGCCCCCAGATCAGCTGCATCAATTTTGTGCATGTCATCCATCGATTCCGACTCACAGGAATTAATTGAACCCTGCATTGTGCCATGTTGCAACAACTCCAACCCTTTCTGGAAATGGTCTTCAATGATAGCTGTTAAATGAATGGGTGGAGTTGTCCGGAAGTGGAGAAGGGACTCAGGAGTGGAGGGACCTTGGCCTCAGCAACTCAGGTGGAGCACTGTGCCATTGCTTGTTGTCTAAGGTGGTCCTTTTCAATACTAACTTGTTATGTACAAGCTATTATCTATTTTATATGAGTTGGAAATGGAATGAATGGAATGGGGGAATGTAAACGGGCCGTTAGGCAACCGTAAATAATGAATATCCAATTAGGAACAAAGAAACAATAAAAGAAATATGAATGAATGGGGAATATATGATAACGGGTCCGAAATGGGAATTGTAAAAGTTAACTCCGCAACGCTTCGCCACAGCGCCCGCCTATCCTCCCGTCAGCAATCTCCTCGTCTCCAGCTTTCCAACGAGCCCTTATTCGTCCCATTTGGTGCAGTAGTTCTTGAGATGTGGCCATTGACAGGTGCTGTCAAGACCACATGAAAGTCTACTCCATGCTGAACCATCTGGGTATGGGATTGCCATTCTGGGAAATGCTCCGGGGGTGAAGAAGGATGGTAGAGCATCACTATTGGGTAGAAAAACGGCTGGGTTGTATGTGTGGTTATGGAGATCTGGAGAGGGGGTGAAATTGGCGGCGTGGTTGGGCGTGGGAATTTGGTCAGGAATGATGGGGAAAATATGGAAAAATAAGGAGTGAGTGTCAGGAGTGTTAGATAGTAATAGAATAAGCATCGGGAGCGTCGGCAGGTATGTAGTGGGTGTTTGCAGCCAGATTCCGCAGAATCCGACTTTTTGCAGTACACGGAGTTGTCCCCACAAGTCACCCCTCCCCATTACTGCTACCTGTTCCATGGCCCGTCACGGGCCTATGAGTCATTCCTTATCACATTTGTTTTCTTGATGGCCGTGCACAGCCGTCCTTCTCCCACGCTCTTTGTTTGTTTTTGTTCCTTCTTAAGCCTGCCTGCAATCTCTGTGAGATCTGGTGACTTATTTCTATTCATTCCGTTACACTTAAATACCGGTTGTACACTACCTCTTCGAAAATCAACTAGGGTTACCCCCTGCACTCCCTGTCTGACCCAGTCGCACCCTCTGCCCTCTGAAATATCGGGGCCGCATGTCAGGGACAGCTCCGAAAGCGGTGAGGTCCCTGCGTGCGGGACTCGGTGGGACGGATAGCGGCTGTGCGTAGCGGCGATCCCGTCGCGGGGTGAGTGTCCCCGACCACTTAGGCTGAAGTGGGAAGTTGAGTTATCATTAAAAGGGAAAAGCTATGGTACTTACCTGAAGTGGGAAGTTGAGAAGAAGGCTGCTTCTTCTGTTCCTACCCCAGGCGCTATTATATACATGCAGTCAGGGTCACGTGGAGGAGGCCACATCATCTCCGCGCACAGCTGCACCTCCCCAGGTGTCTCCGCAGGAGATCCCGGAGGCGGCCGTTCAGTAGGCAGGAGTGTGCGCAGCGCATGCGGCGATCAGGGAAGCGGGGTTAGGTATGTAGTGGTACATGGAGAAAAGGGAAATCGACCGTAGAATAGAAATGGAGAGAAAGGGGAAAAGTGAGGAAGGAGGGATGTGTCAGGGCACACCCGCCTGACCCGGCTCCACCCGGCCCAACCTGACCCGGTACCCTGCCGGTCCACCCCTCCTTACCTCCTCCCCCTTTCCCTTCTTCCCCCTCATCCTCCCCTCCTCAGTTTCTCCTTATCTTACTTCTCCTTTATTCTCTCTTTATTCTACACGGACGACTTTCTCTGTATCAATGTACAACTGACCCATCTGCAGCGCGCCCACCATGTACCCGGCCCGGGCACCTCGGGCGACTTCCCGCTGTGCCCAGCACGCGCGCCTGCACCGGATACCCTTGGGATCTCCCACGGAGACACCCGGGTGGTTACGGCTGTGTGCGAGGGTGATGTGGCACCCGTCATGTGATCCAAGCCGCATGTATATAAACGAACCTGAAGTGGGAACCGAAGAAGTAGCCTTCTTCTCAACTTTCCACTTCAGGTAAGTAGTACAATATTTCTCCTTTAATAATAATAACAACTTTCCACTTCAGTCTAAGTGGCCAGGGACCGCTGTCCCACATCGGGCCTGTCAGTACGCACGCCCGATCCGCCCCCCGCCAGGCTCTCGGTCCCGGACGTTATACCCGGACCCCCTCGACCCCGGACGAGTCCCTGACAGGATGGGGCTGATAGCGGGGGTCGCGGAGTAGAACAGTACGGCGTGGGGCGCGGTGCAGGGTCAGGCAGGTGTGCCCTGACACTGCATCAAGTACGAGGTGCAACGCTCACGAACGAGTCGTTGAAGCCGAAACCCTGCTTCACCATGATTGTCACCCCTGCCCTTAACAGGCTGTTACGCCAGGGTAGTGGACCTTAACGGTCGCCGACGGCGAGTCATGGTAATGTTTTCCCATGCCCTGACAGTATTTTCGAACACCCCTCACATCAGCAAACTGAACCAGGAGGTATGAGAGCTCATAGAGCTCTCAGAGCTATGAACTTTGAAAATTGCAGGTCCCCCTCTCTGAGAGCTTGGGAAAGTAGCTCAAAGCTCTGAGAGCTCATAGAGATATATTTGCCCACAGAGGACTATTAGCTCTATGAGCACCCTGAGCCCATGTTTAATTCGCAAAAATTCAAAAAAATAAAAAGCTTGACTACAGTATCATGTGACTGGCCACAGTCAAGTTCCTACCCTAGGGTCAACTGGACAACAGTCTACTTAACTTGCAACCCCTCATGTGGCACTGCACACCAAGGGCACACAACCCAATTGATATATACACTGAATTTAGGGTTATAAATAGGGTTAATCCGAAATTACTTAGGGGAAAATGGGGGGGAGAATGAGGGGGAGAATGAGGGGGAAAATGAGGGGGGAATTGGGGGGGGGATGAGGGAGAAAATGAGGGGGGAAATGGGGAAATTTGGAGGGGGGGATGAGGGGGGGAATGAGGGGGAAAATGAGGGGAAAATGGAGGGGGGGAATGGGGTGACATTTGGAGGGGGCAATGAGGGGGAAATGAGGGGACAATTGAAGAGGGGGATGGGGGGGAATTGAGGAGGGAATTGAGGGGGGAGAATGAGGGGGAAAATGAGGGAGGAAATGGGGGGAAATGAGGGGGGAATGGGTGAAATTTGGAGGGGAGAATGAGGGGGAAATGAGGAGAAAATTAAGGAGGAATTAGGGGGGGGAATGAGGGGAAAATTGAAGGGGGGGATGGGGGGAGAATTGCAGAGGGAATTGGGGGGGGGATGAAGGGGGATATGGGAGGAAAATGAGGGGGAACTGGGGGGTTTCTAAAAACTTGAAAAAAAGTCAGGGAAAATTAAGGAAAATTCAGAAAATTCAGGGAGAAATGGGGGACTTTCAAAAAAAATTGAGAAAAGGAAAATTTCTAAAAAATCAGGGAAAATTAGGGAAAATTCAGAAATCTTGGGAAATGTTAGGGAGAGAAATTTCAGACCTTTAGAAATAATTTAAAAAATTGAAATCACCTTTCTATCATAAAAATTTTGCTATCTGAAAATTTCAAGGCAAACTCTAAAATCCAAAAATTTACACTATATATTTCATCTCCTTTCTCACCCAAAACTCACCCAATTTTGACAATTCAAAAGGCTTGGTATGGATGTATGGATGATATCTGAAGGATACATCAGCTTTCTGTTTGCTTTATTTTAAATTTACTCTTTTTGGGACACTTTTCAAAACTGATTTATACCCTACATAACATGCATGGTTACATTGCCACACTTAAGTGCTTTCCAATGCACATAGATAGAATCATCAAAATTGGATGAGTTTTGAGCAAGAAATGAGATGAAAGATAAAGTGCAAAGTTTTGAATTTTGGAGTTTTCCTCAAATTTTGCAAATAGCAATAAACAAGGTGCTGTATCTCAGCATATTCCATGGATACATCAGTAAACACAAAAGGTCTATGAGGTCTATGAGCCTGCTGAGATCATAGAGCTCATAGAGCCTTTGGAGTGATGAAGATGGCTATTTTTCCACACATTTACAGAAACATATATCCATATTACCATTGCACTACTGGTGCCAAGATAACTCAGCAGATTCCATGGAGACATGAAGACC